GCTCCTCCAACCAGGCTACAGTAGGTGGCCAGAGGGTTTGGGGATTCATCTGGTTGTAAACATGCCGGATCCTGGATGCTAGGCTGGCCTTGAGAATCAGAATTAAGGCAGCTTTGAGAATTGGTGTCTGTGTTTTCTTTTTCCAACCTCCCCTTTCTCTTTGCTTCTATAATGTTTGCTTGTAAGCAGACATTGTAACCACTGCAATATACTACAACAAAACTATTATCATGTCACAACTTTTTGAAACCATTTATTTATGTTCTCTTGTCACATTTAGTTAAATCCGAACCCTGTATCTTGGTTTCACAACTCTGTATAATGTGGCCCCTGTCTTGCTCTCTCATTCCTATTTCTTATTACCTTTCTTTTTCTCAATTCGTTGCTCTATTAGTTTCTCTCCCATACTATGCTCTCTCTCATCTCTGGATTCCCTGCGCTTGGCACATGTTTTCTCCAATGTTGAGATCTGAAGTTTTTTTTTTTTTCTTTCTTTTTTCTTTTTTTTCAAGACAGAGTCTTGCTCTGTTGCTCAGGCTGGAGTGGAATGGCACGATCTTGGCTCACTGCAACCTCCACCTCCTGGGTTCAATGATTCTCCTGCCTCTGAAGTTTTAATCATTACTTCTTTGGGGTAGACTTTCTGTCCCTCTATTCCCTATTTTCTGGGTTATGTAAAATGTCTGTATGCTCTCACAGCCCTCAGTTCCTTTCTTAGCATAGCCCTTAGAGCATGCGTTTGAATCCAGAAATGAACTCGAAAGCTTGTGCCATTAAGTTTGCTACTTGCAGATTATAAACTCTCTGGAAAAGTTGTGTGAAAATCTCTGAATCTCAATCATCTCATTGGTAAAATGAAGAAATGGTTTCTAGTTTGCTGTGAGAATAACATCATAATTATGAAAAATTTACCAGGTAATAAGTAGTCAACACATTAATAATAACCATAATTGTATGTATTAATTACAAATATTAACAATATATTACTATGTAGTTAATTATTAATAATATTAATATATTAAAGGCTCTATTTCCCATAAATTTTCTGTTTGTTTCGGTCTCCCACAAAATTATGGTATTTTGAGAGCAGGGACTTTGTCTGTGTTTTTTATTATTCTACCTCCATCCCTAAGACGGAGAAGAGCATGGGGTTTATTGAATGAATGAATGTGATCTTATTGTACCACAGCCAGCTGAGTGAGTCCTACCTGCCCAGGCAGGATTGCATGTGATTCTGATCCTGCTCTGGTTAGCAGAAGCAGCCCTTGGAAGAGATGGCACTCGTTCCTCTAGATCACCCTTCCCCAGCCGTTTTGGCACCAAGGACCAGTTTTGTGGACGACAATTTTTCTACGGACTGGAGAAGGTGGGATTTTGCTTTCCAGATGAAACGAATCTACCTCAGATCATCAGGCATTAGATTCTCATAAGGAGCATGCAACCTAGATCCCATGCATATGTAGTTCCCAACAGGGTTCCTGCTCCTATGAGAATCTAATGCCTCTGCTGGTCTGACAAAGGGTTCTGGGTGGGTATGTTCACAGGGCAGTGTTGTTGTTATGTGAACAAAGTATAACACACTTATGTGAAGAGCAGCAGAAAAAAACAGCAGCTTGTAACCATGTATCCGCTCTGTGTTTTGTATGTTTTACATGAAACGTTCTTAGCTCATTTTATGTTTCTAAAAAGGAAATGATTATATGGGAAGTGATTCACATAGTCCTTATCATACACGTAGTGACCCATAAAGGGTAGCTAATCATAATAACTTTAAATAAGTGTATCAGTAAGTTGAAAATAACACTTTTTTTTTCTCCTTGACCTTTTTAAAAATCATTTTAAAAGCATTTTGGTTTATACCAAACAGTCCAGAGTATTTTTTTAAGCAGTAATATTAGTTCACCTGCTGCTCACCTCCTGCCCTGAGGTCCAGACCAGAATTAGTTCACAGCCCAGAAATTGGGCATCCCTGTTCTAAATGATGCACAGTATGTGAACATTCAGTGCACTTGGGTATCTTTGGCTCCATAATCTCAGAGAGGGAGTTCTTAGGTGGGGTACATTGACGGGGCAGTGTTGTTGCATTAAGTGAACAGGATATGACACACTTAGGTGAAGACTGACAGAAAAAGCTACAACTTGTAACCATGTATCCTGAATACTTCCGAGGGCCAGACCTGCAGCCTCGGTAACTGCTCTCTGTAAATTGCTGGTTTTGCACACCTACAGTCTTTTCTTGTATTATCAAGTTGGTCACCTGAACAAGTCATGTGCAGGTACATGACTTGAGTCATGAGTATATACATGACTGTGTGTGTCAGTGTGTGTGATACAAATAATAGGATGAAATAAATGAACATTCGTATATACAATATTCTGTTCTGAGATTATCATTGGCCCCAGGATCTGGATTTTACTTAGATAAGCTGAAAGTAAAATTTCTGAAAGCAAGAGGAAGTATATACCTCATTTTTTTTAAAGTGCTATATGTTTAAAAGCTATTTTTGAAGGGAGTCTTGAGAATTTGCTTTCACTTACATTGGAACTGGGATTATCACAGTGTTTTCAGATAGTTGCATATGACCGACTGTGACATGAAGGAAAAATGGACACTTAATAGTGCCTCTTCTCTGTTTTAATAATTTTCAGATAGCTGGATGGTCTCAGTTTCTAAAATCAATTCTGCACATAGATGCTTTATCCCTGTCTTCTAGGCAAAGTAACTGAAACACAAATAAATGAGTGAATTTCTTCACTCATTTCTCTAACTATATAGTTCATATAGTTAGAGAAACTATATAATTAGAGAAACCGGAATCTTAGCTTTGTGTTTTGTTCTTTCAAAAACCTATGCTTCGCCGGGCACAGGGGCTCACGCCTGTAATCCCAGCACTTTGGGAGGCCGAGGTGGATGAATCACAAGGTCAGGAGATCGAGACCACAGTGAAACCCCGTCTCTACTAAAAATACAAAAAATTAGCCAGGCGCCTTGGCGGGTGCCTGTAGTCCCAGCTACTCAGGAGGCTGAGTCAGGAGAATGGCATGAACCCGGGAGGCGGAGCTTGCAGTGAACTGAGATCGCACCACTGCACTCCAGCCTGGGCGACAGAGCAAGACTCTGTCTCAAAAACAACAACAACAACAACAACAAAAAACCAAACCGAAAAAACCGATGCTTCTTTTTTGTCATTAGTTACTTCCCTTAGTTATTTTTAAACACAAGGGAGCATTAAAAAATAAAATTGTAATACCATTTAATAATCAGAGGCTATTGGTAATTAGAAGAAAATATGGCACAAATAAGTTTTAACATAAATAATAATGACACGAAATGCAATAGTTTGTTAATTAACAAAATTTTGTGGGCAAAAATATACATAGTGATCCCTTCTGTGTCTCAAGAACTCTTTGTATGTGAATGGAAACTTCCATGAAGTATATATTATTCAAATTTTTTAATAAAAATGCTAATGGAAATATTAAAATGCACATAAATTAAAATGATCATAAATTAGGATTAATATCACATTAATGAATTATAATCCCACATTCATTAAGATAAAGTGGCATTTCAATATTTGTTCATGCTAATACATTTTATACAATAAATGAAAGGGATACATTTTGAGAATCAATAAATATTTGATGTAATTGTATGCTTTAACTTTAAAAAATATGCAAAGGTAAAGTAGGAGATCTAGATGCATTTGGAATCTTTGTTACTATTTTATGTCTTTTTTATAAGCCTTTCTTTTCACTTATTGAAGGGCTTAATACAATTTAAATTGTCGAAGAAAGTGAAAGAGGCTGTTCTGAATAAAGGGAATCCCAAGAGAACACAGCGTCTTTTGAATTTCTAGGCGTTTCTTTCCACTAGACAGTTTTTTTTTTTTGGAACAACTGTTTGAAATCTCAGCTGGAACTATATTGGCAATTAAGTAATTGAATTAAACTGAAAATATGTACATTGAAGTAGTACATTGTAATGGACTTGTCTTTTAAAAATTCAAATCCCCAAATATATATATTATTATTTTATTTTATGTTAATTTTTTTTTAAAAAACAGGAGACACACCATGTATAATATCAGAATACTCCTGTCTCCTGCTTGAGAGAAAATTGTCAGAACCTTAAAACCAGGGATTCTGTTTTCCCTGGTACCTACCACAGTGTTTTAGGCAGAGTATTTGCCTGACACACAAATTCAGTAAATATTCATTGCTATGACCAAAAATGGATTTGGGTTCATGGTGAAAAGTTGTCATTTTCTGGGGTGTTCCATTTCTGGAAAAGGTACTCCTATATTCTGGCCTCAGTGTTCTTCTCTATAAAATGGGAATGATTTTCCTGGACTAGAAGAATTGTCCAAACTAAAGGAAAAAAGGCTTTCAAAAATGTAATATCTTAATATCAGTCAATATATTAGAATTACTTTTGTTTGTATAAATATCACAGGCAGATCTGAATTGAATTCTGAATCTACCTCACTTGAGTCTGTCAAATGTCAACCTTGGAGAGGTAAATATGTGCCTTGTTCAGCATCAGTTTTCTCATGTTTCATATGAAACACTCTTAACCCAGTTTTTTAAATAAAAAGGAAATGATTATATGAGCAGTGATTCACCTAGTACTGGGCATACAGATATTGACCCATAAAAGGTAACTAATCATAATAATTTAAATAAATGTAATAGATTGAAAATAAAACATATAGTTTTGTATTTTTCTCCTTGACCTTTTTATCGTTCTAAAAGCATGTTGTTTTGTACTAAACAGGCCAGAGTACTTTTTAAGGACTGCTCTAACTTATTTAGGTGAATTTCATTATATTTTATTCTTAATTGATATCCGCACAGCTGCATACACTTTGTACAGCTACTATTAGCAGAAATTGATGATGTTGTGTAAAAAGAACCAACTTCATATTCAAAAAGGAGGTAGTTAAAAAACTAACTCTTCAGGTTGCTCCATCACTAACTAATGCCATTTTTCATTTTAGCTACACACAGACCTGGATCCTGGGAGCAAAAAAATCAAGTATATCCTATCAGGTGATGGAGCTGGGACCATCTTTCAAATAAATGATGTAACTGGAGATATCCATGCTATAAAAAGACTTGACCGGGAGGAGAAGGCTGAGTATACCCTAACAGCTCAAGCAGTGGATTGGGAGACAAGCAAACCTCTGGAGCCTCCGTCTGAATTTATTATTAAAGTTCAAGACATCAATGACAACGCACCAGAGTTTCTTAATGGACCCTATCATGCTACTGTACCAGAAATGTCCATTTTGGGTATGTATGCTTCCAGTTTCACAGACCTATTAAAAGTCATCTTTAAAATAGCTCCTGGCATCAAGGATCATGTATTGCTGAATAAAAGACATTTATTACCGCCTTATCTCTAATTTGCATTTCCAAATTCCCCTTTTTGGCCTAAGTTCCGCAGCTCAGTAGCTTTGGTCCCTTAGTAATAGGAACTGACGGAAGAGCAAGTTTATTAAAATAGCTTTCCTTACATGACAATACTTCAATAGGCTGAATTTGTATTCCTCTCATAGACTTGTAGTTTGAGTATTGTTACTGAGGCGGATTTATCAAGATTTGTTCTAACATGCCAAGCTAATCCTGTTGATATTTGCTTGATGTTTAATTATTTGTTTGTGTATATTCACATGCAGATGCAGCACACAGAGAAATAGAAAGCCATCTAGGCCTGTCGTCAGCCAGATACTAGGTTGCTCTGGTGGTTTGTGTCTAGGGTGGATTAGGCAGTCACGATTACCAAGGGCCTCTGTATTTGTGTCCATCTTAACATTTTTTAGGAGTGACTGCTAGTACCATTGACCCACTCTCAATTTTTCTGAGCCATTGAAGAACCCATTACATATTACAGAGCAATCTGTATTTCAAACATGATTTTATTCTTGTTTCTTCCTCTTTGGATCTGCTTATCTATCCATAAACCTGGCCTTGATGATAAGAAACCCCTCAACCTAGACATTCTATAATAAAAGGAAGGATTTTAGAGCTTTTCCTTGTGTGATAAAAGTAGTAGGCAGAATCTAAAGTTCAAAGTATAAGATTACAAAAGCCATTTTTTAAAAATGTGTAATGCATATACAAGTTTGTTTCAAATTGCATTTAAGACAGCCTATAAGGATGCACGCTATGTAGTAAAGTCACATAGGTTTGAAGCAGATGAACCAGATAAAACAAGTAAACACAGGTAGAGATAAATTGGAAGCCAGAATTTGGTGAATACGGACATGTATATTCATTATTTAAAGCCCCCAAATTTAGGATTAAAGGAACTGCGAGAAAAAATAAAAAAGGAAATCTGATCAAGAACCCTGTTCACAAGTTTTATAAAATCAAATTGCTCAAGAAAATTGCAAATAAATAAAGATATGAACACCAGAGGAAGTATACAGACATACAGTGTCTTCAATAACATCTTCACTTTAGACTCAAATAAAGGCCAAGTATTGATTATGGTTTCCAAGGCTAAATTGGGTGACCATTATCAGGTATAGCACAGAATGTCCTTACCTCCCAAATGTGGTCCTGATATTTTAATTTAGCAATCCAGTGACATACTCGTGTGTGTGTGTGTGTGCGTGTGCGTGTGTGTGTGTGTGTCTTTATAACATTCCTGATGGAAATTAGTTGGAATTTAAATTTCAAATAAAGAAAAATCTTTTGTAGAATAAATGACTTAATTTGCAAGTAAGTTATTCTCATGCATTTCTGAGAAAGAGAATATCCTAGTTGCTCTCCTTGACTTGATGTGTTTTATGTTTGAATGACTTTCTCTTATTTTGTCGTGTACTCTTTAAGGTTATTTTGTTCCTCAGAGTTCTTTTTTCTTCCCCATACTACCTTGTGCTATCCCTCTTCCTCTTTCTCACCCTTCTCCATTAGTTCTCCTCCTTCATCTTCTCCTCCTCGTGTTTCTTCTTCTCTTTATCCCCTTGCCATCTCCTTTTCTCTCTCCTTCCCTCCATTGTCTTTCACGGTCACCCCTGTATCTTCAGCCGTTTGTTTAATGTGGCTGGCTGTAAAAATTATATGCCTTGCCCCATTGTTCTGCTTAAGCTGTTAATCTACATTGTCAATTGCTTTATGAACATTATCATCTGGATATTTCAAAGGCAACTCAAATTTCGCATTAAAAATCAAACTATGTACGTGGATAAAGCTGGAAACCATCATCCTCAGCAAACTAACACAGGAACAGAAACCCAAACATCGTATGTTCTCACTCATAGTGGGAGTTGAACAATGAGAACACATGGACACAGGGAAGGGAATATCACACACCGGGGCCTGTCAGGTTGTGGGGACCTAGGGGAGGAATAGCACTGGGATAAATACCTAATGTAGATGACTGATTGATGGGTGCAGCAAACCACCATAGCACATGTATACCTATGTAACAAATCTGCACATTCTGCACATGTATCCCAGAACTTAAAGTATAATTTTAAGAAATACATAGAAAAAAATGACTGGACAGAATATCCCAGAATGACATTGTAGTCACTTTTGGGTAGAAAAAAAAATCAAACTTAATTCCTTTCATGAAATTTTTTTTTTGTCTGTTTTCTGACTTCTTTGACTTTATCAATGAGTCCAATGCACTCTAAAATCTCATGTAAAACATGCAAGTGATACTGTTGAATCTGTTTTTACTCATTAAGCCTCACCAGTAGCCTGTCCATTTAATCCCTAATTCCAGCCACTACTGACTGCTGTGTAATCTTGATGCATCATCCCATCCCTTTCTTTTGACCACTCTCCAAAATCATATCTTAATGACCCTCACTGGATTATTGATGATCTCAGAAATTTTCCAAATAGCGTGCTGGATTCCAACCATGTTATTTCTTAGCTGACATACGTATTTATCCCAGAGGAAAAAATATCCCTTACATTTTATTGGTGTTCAGCTACTTACCCAGGGGGACTTTTCATGGTCTGGCTTCATTTCATTCTTTTCTTACCTACCTACAGTATGACTTGGGTCATGTCGTATTGCTGACTTTGGTTGGCAGCAAATCACAAGTGATTTCAGGTCTTCATTTGTTCCTCATATATTTCTTCTGCCAAGACTCCACTTTATCTACCTCTTGTGAAAGGAGCTCTATTTTTTTTTCCTTCTTATCAAAATTACTTATTTTACTTATTTATTTATTTTTTTTGAGATGGAGTCTCATTCTGTTTCCCAGGCTGGAGTGCAATGGCACGATCTCTGCTCACTGCAAACTCCGCCTCCCTGGTTCACACAATTCTCCTGCTTCAGCCTCCTGAGTAGCTAGGATTACAGGAACATGTCACTATGCCTGGCTAATTTTTGTATTTTAAGTAGAGACGTGGTTTCACCATGTTGGTCAGGCTGGTCTTGAACTCCTGACCTCGTGATCTGCCCCCTTCAGCTTCCCAAAGTGCTAGGATTAGAGTTGTGAACCACTGTGCCCGGCCCAAAATTGTTTCTTTATGGCTGGCTGGAATGACACTTTTCCTAGGAAAACTTCTGTGTTTTTCGCTCAGAAAGTTATCTTTCTACCATCACCACCCACACACACACATAAAAAACACATAAACAAGCAAAAACACCTCCATCTTTTCACTTCGTTTGGCTTCTGACTTACAAACAGGAACTGAGAAACACTATATATATTTTTCTCTTTTTTTCATGTTGTTTGGTCGTTTCATTTAGGCCGGATGACTTTCTAATTCATCCTTTCATGTAGATTAGAGTAAGATGGTTTTAATGAATGATTGCCGCCCACAAAACATACAGCACACTTTATCTTAATTGTTAATAAACGTCGAATAGAGAAGCTGTTATTTTTGCCTCATTATGATTTTACATCTTCATGCCAAGCCTATATCTATTGATGGTAAGTGTGTCAGAGGCTCTCTTTTCTGTGTATGTAAGTCATGTGTCTGATTAATATGTTGAGAAAGAAAACTGCAGAAACATCTGCAAACATCAAGTCCATTTTCAGATAAGAAAAGGATTTAAAATATATTACTAGCAGCCAGCATGGTGAAACCCTGTCCCTACTAAAAATACAAAAATTAGCTCGGTGTGGTGGCGTGTGCCTGTAATCCTAGCTACTCGGGAGGCTGAGACAGGGGATTTGCTTGAACCTGGCAGGTGAAAGTTGCAGTGAGCGGAGATTGTGCCACTGCACTCCAGCCTGGGTGACAGTGTGAGACTCTGTCTCAAAAAAATAAATAAATACATAAATATGTATATAAAATTAGCTATATAATGAAGTGCCTATGTCCACTTGTAAATACATACATACTTGTATATATCTCTCCATCTAAAATGTTTTTGCTAATAGACATTTAAATAATCCACACTAACATATATGTATTGTATATAGAATTCATACAGTTACGTATGTTGTATATGATACATATATAAAGATATATATGATACCTATAATATATAAAGATATGTGATACATATATAAAGATATATGATACATATATAAAGAGATATAAAGATATATGATACATATATAAAGAGATATAAAGATATATGATACATATATATGATACATATATAAGGATATTTTATATACATATATGTATATATATTTTTAGCCTGTGACATGTCTTCCAAAAACCACAGGGGATGTGCTGAAGTTTCCGGTGTGAGTTTGAATCCTGGTTCTGTCCCTTATTATCAGGTTGACTATGAAGTTTAGGGAGGTTAAATTATTGCCATTTTCTTTAGCTACAAAGCAAGGATAATAATTTTTATGTTGCTTTCATTGTGTGGGACTTGCATGACAAAGTACAATGTAAAGGTATGCCAAAAAGTAAATAAGTGTTCCACAATTGGTTGTTGTTTATGGCTTTAAAATTATTTTTATTAACCTGTTTCCCACCTTACCTTTGGACCTTTCTTTATATATCGATTTGATTCATTGGATGTCTAGTGTCTGTGTGATTACAACCTCTCTGGCTAAAGGAAGCAGAGGCGGCTGCACTATTTTATTGTGAAGTGTGAATTATTCCCTTCATTTCTCATGAAGGTGAATATCTGAAAGAAGGTCAGCTACTATCTCTTTTTTCTCCCCCTTACCACTGTTCTTCCTTAGCTTGTCTCTTCCCTCCCCTCCTTCCTTCTTTCATTTTTCTCCTTTGCTGTGCCAGAAATGCCAGCACGTGCACCTGTATGCCCCGAGGAATGCCAGCAAATGCTGAGGGATTTCATTGTGCGGAAAGTGAAGAATACAATTCTAATTGAGAAATTTACCAATATTAAATTG